GCGTACAAGCAGCGGGGTCACATCAGCGCGGCACTGAGTAAGAAAATAATAAAACAACAACTCTGACATCTCCCTAAGAGCAGGCTCTAGTCTTTGATCTTAGCCACGTCTGTGGCACCGACTTGGAAGGAAAACACTACTAACAAGCAAAATGTTGTTACTGTTATTATTTTTTGCAGCCGGCAAACAATCTGCTAGTGACAAAGCCGGCAGAGTAATTCCTCTAGTTACAACTAACATTTCTATTTATATTAGGGTAAAAGGTTACAAAACCAAAGGAGAGCTGCTTTCATGGCTAATTTCCAAGGATCCTCATTTTCATTAAGCATCCTGGAAAAAGTTTAAAACAAGGCCAGGGAAAGGGACGAAAGAGTTCGCTGCACTCAGTTCTAACACCGAGGAGAGCTGAGGCCGACAACAAAGCCTTCTGCTTTTTGGGTCCCAGAGTTTCCCCGGACTCAGTTCAGGGCGCACGTCTGGCCGTCCCAGGGAGCACCGTCTGCTCTGGCTGGAACTTGCCAGTGGCGGCCAGATGCTTTCATTAGAACCAATGCAAAATCAATGTTTACTCCATCAAATGCATCCACATGCAAAATGGTTGCAAAGACGGGAGTGGCCAAAACAGAACAAAGAGATCCAGTAGGAGCCAGCTTCGGGGTCCCCACTGCTCGGGCGCACCCCTCCTCCGGGTGCAGGAGTTTGGCCCGCGCCGGAGCCCGCGGGGGGGTGCGGTGTGGGGAGGGTGTCTCCGAGCGGGCGCTGCAGTCGTGAGGCACTCTGGCCACTCCTGCCGGGGCAGCAAAACTGAACGTGGACCCTTGTCCTGCCCTAAGCAAGAATGATCTTCAAATGGGTGAGCAGCCCAGCGACTGGAAGACTAAATTAAACACTCACAGAAAACTTAGGGGACCGTTCACTCGGGCGCAAAGGCAGCCAGCGCCTTAGTGAGCCGAGAAACCCAAAGGCACGGAAACTAGGCGCTGACCGCAAAACCACTGCTTTAGTCAAATCAAGAGACAACGATCAGACTCAGAAAAACAACTGTCACGCAAACAAGCCACGGAAGGAGGCACTGGAGGCGGCGGGGTCACCAGGGCAGGGGGAGAGAGCAAGCCCGGCCTGTCTCTACTCTGCAACTGTTTCGCAGATACTTTTTTCAAGATTTATTTATCTGTGCACACAGAACTGGGTGCAGGGCAGTGAGCGGCGCCACCAGAGACAGAGCGGGGAGCAAGACAGGCAGGTCGATGAGGAACACTGCTGAGGGGAGCCGCGGGCGGGTCAGGAGAGGTCTGCCGTGCCCTGTGGTCACCTCCGGGGCAGGCGGGGACCGAGCTCCTGCGGAAGCGGCTTCAGCTACTCAGTGCTGCGCTTCACCCGCGGCGCCCCCAGGGAGGGCCTACTCAGCAGATACTTTTAAGTCTGATTTATTCTTTTTCTTAACATTAATTTTGTGGCTGCTGTTTCCTGTGCTCCCGCTAAGAAATCTTTGTCACGCCAAAGGTCACGAAGGTATTCCTGCACTTTCATTTTGAAACCGTATCGTTTGGGGCTCACAATCGGTTCAGCTCACAGTCATCTCTGTGTGTGTCACGTGGTGGAGGAGGTTCGTCGGTTTCCATGTGTTTATCCAGCACTTGCTATTGGGGGAAAGTCTTTCTCCTGTTGAATTTCCTTGGTGATTTTCAAATGTCGGCTGATTATATAGTCACCGTGGCTGTGTTAAAGCCTTTGTCTGCTAATTTCAACATTGGGTCATTTGGGATCTGTTTCTACTTGTTCGCTCCTTTCTTGAGTCACATTCTCCTGCTTTTTCGTATGTCTAATTATTTTTGGTTATAGGTCAGAAAGTATGGAAATGTGTTGTAGGCGATCTGGATTAGGTTGTCTTCCTGTAAAGAGTGCTGAGGTTGTTCTGGCAAGTAGTCACTAGCAAATCCTTCTGGTCCTAGCCCACTCACCTTGGTCTTTGTTCAGACCTGTCCTAGGTCTGTTTGCTATGGAACTGCACACTTGTCTGGAGGCCTGGGCCCTCCCCTCCCGGGGTCAAGATGTCCCATGGACTCAGCCCTGCGGCAGACGATCTCTGCTGGCGCTCAAGGAGGCTCCCTGTACCTGACAGCCCTGCCCCCAGGCCAGGTGCTATAGGCTGAGTGTGTCCCCCCAAAATGCACTCTCCCAGAGTGAAGGAATTTGGGGGTGTGGTTTTGAGAGGTGATTGGAGGGTGAAGCCTCCAGTACGTCCCTGTGAGTGGGATTAGTGCCCTAACAGAAGAGACCCCGTGTGAGGACACATCGGAAAGACCAAGAAGGGGGTCCTCGGCAGGCTTGCACCAGCCAGCACCTTGACCATGAACTGTGAGGTGAGCATGTCTGCTGTCTGTGAGTCAGCCAGTCTGTGCGATGTTTCGGTGGCCTGTGTGGGCTGGGACGCAGGGGTCTGGGAGTAACCACTCTGTGCCACTCCTCTGGGGCCCTGGTGGGGGCGCTGCGGGCACTTTTGCTACCCAGAATGCTCAGGAAGCCCCCAAAGCAGCACTGTGGTTGGGCCTGAGGCTGACACTAAAACACCCCAAATCAGAAGGCAAAGGCAGGTGTGG